GATTAACAGGTACTGTTTGTGAAATACATTTTGGTACAGGCACTGAAAACCAGTAGGCAACTTCCTAACTTAAAGTAAATGAGAATGTAGAAACCTAGGCATCAAAAGCAGTAAGGGAGGGCTGAGAGGAAACACGTGGGACTTAACTTGCACGCACTTCTTGTAAAAGTGGATGTTTAATTTTTCCACATAGCTTGTATCTTTAACACTACACACTAGAAAACTATACTGCCACTGCACGATGTATCTAGTAGCAAAAACACAGTGCTCTTTGTGTGTACTTAAATTTATAGCGAATCTGAAACATTGATACACGGGTTTTAGAGCCTTTACACACTCAAATCGAATAACAGTTTACTTTTAATTTTCTACTACTTCTCAATCAGATTAATACCTTACCTGTCAAGATCTGACCCCCCCAAAAACCACCACATACAAAAATACCCCAAAACCCAATTCATCACAAGAATCAATTAACAAATCAAAGAAAAAATTAAAAGAACTTGTTGCCTAAGTTGTAAACTAAAACTAGGAAAGTTGAAGTGATAAATCCAGAGACAGGGGACTATCCAACTGCACACTTCAATGAGACATAAACCTAGACTCAAAGAAACAATGTTAAAAATGTAAGGCTAGGCTGGGTGTTGGTGGCTAGTCCCAGCACTCGGGAGGCAGAGGCAGGCGGATCTCTGTGAGTTCCAGGCCAGCCTGGTCTACAGAGAGTTCCAGGACAGCCTCCAAAACAATACAGAGAAACGAAAAGACAGAAAGGAGGGATGTTTTTATGTCTTAAAAGGGGGCCAAGACAAGATAAACATGTAACAGGTGGCCAAAAATGCATAAAACAAAAAGAAAAATCAGTACCCGGAGACTACAATGCTACTACTACCAGTAACAGACATAATGAGGACCAACAAGAAGTCAAAGGAATTAATTAACCAGCACTGTAATGCAACAAGCATGACAGTAGGAGAATGTTTAATAAGAGCATTATTATAGTCTCAAGTATGCACAGAATGTGCTTCAGAAAACAAGACTTAGTTTAAAGAACTGAGATTATACAAACCATATGTGTGTGTGTGTATATATGTATGTGTGTGGGTATCCTTTAATCATCTAATCTCCTACTTGAACAAATTATGAGAGTAAAACTAACCCAAAGGAGCTTTAGAAGGAAGAGGGTTGGGATCGCTACTTTTACTTCAATATTTTTAGTTAGAAAGCTTGCAACTCTCATGGAACCCCACTCAGTGTCAGCCCTAGGTGGTGGCCTCGCTGGGGAACTGTTCTTTGGCTCTTTCTGCCTTCCATTGACCATACAAGCCAATCATAATTGGGGTTGGGGCTGGGCCTGGTGGAACCTTCCTGATCCTACAAAAAATGTGAGCTGGAGAAACGGAATTCAGGAAAAAAAAGGCAGTGCCCCTGTCCTTATGGGCACCTTTGACCACGGTTTAATGATTGTCTGATCTACTCAAAGGCTTCACAAGATATTCACAGGTATTTTATGGAAAACAGAAATTCCTTTTATTTAAATTAATGAAATTAATTTCTATATAGCCTGGACACATAGAAAATCTGTTTTGGTGGTACCTTACTTGCAGAAAAATGTGAATAAAAGATGTGCCTCATACAAAAACAAGAAAAACCTAACCCCACTAACCTCAGGCAACCAGGAGGAAATAATAAAGAGTAGAGACAAATACAAGAGATCTAATAGTCACAACAAAAGAGTGACTTTAAAACAAAAAACTGAAAGAGGGGAGGGAGCTGGGAGAAGTGAGGAGGGCGGCTGTGGTCTGGATGTATTACAAGAGAAAAGAATCTGTTTTCTTCTCTTTGGTTTGAGATAGGCTTTCTCTGTGGCTCTGGAGGCTGTCCTGGATAGAACTCACTTAGTAGGCCAGGCTGGCCTCAACTCAGAGATCTGCCTGCCTCTGCCTCCTAAATGCTAGGATTAAAGGTGTGCGCGCCACCAGCATCTGGCGAAGAATCTATTTTCAATGAGAAAACCTAAAAGATCAGTAACTGAATGGTCAGGAAAAGAATTAAGAAATTAAGATTCAAATTGCTACAGTAAGGAATAAAATCCAGCATTACTACTACCTTTTTGACAAAAGAGAACTACATGAATCAAATAGTAAGCATAGAAACTCCTCTATCAGCTCTTTAAAATCAAGGCTAATTCTTAAACTTCCCCAAAACACGCTCTACTCATTCTGTGGGGCCACCATACCCCAGCACTGAACTCATCACCAGGAAACAAAGCACCTGGTGTTATATAGGCATAAAAACCCTTAACCCAGGAGAGTGACTCAACATCATCTGGGATTTACTCCAGGAATGCGATGGTGATTCAATATACACCATGAAGTATTCCTAAGAATAAAAGACAATCATCTGATGAACTTAGAAAAGTATTTAACAAGTGTACCACTTGTTATTGCAAAAGCTCAACCTGATACTAAAGGGAAACGACTTAACCCTGGCGGAACGCGGAAGCCGGCGCCATCTTTAAGGCGCGGTGTGGCGCAGCTCTCCACAATCACAGACCTACACATCAGAGCAACCTGGAGATCACCACTAAGCCACGACCATATGGAAATGGGTTAATGATTAAGAGAGCTAACCAAACAGTTTATTTAGAAAAAAATTAGTAACATTACTTTCACTTGGTTTAAGCAATGTTTCATCACATAACACCATGAAGACAGACTAAATACTTTGTTGCAAAAAGATGGCACTCTCCCATCAACAAATGTTACTAGGGTTACTGATCACAGTATCACAAAATCTATGTAACTGCATTGTCCAAGCCTGCACTGGTCCACGTGTTGAAGACAGAAAGATAGTTAACATAGCAGCGAGTATCTGATGATTGTTGTATATCATTCTTGTATAAGCCATATAGATACTCATCTAACATTTTAGGTCAGCAATGAAGTAAAACTTCACAGAATATCTTGAATTAGGTTTTACACCAATGAAAACACTCTGGTGAAGAGAAGAGCTGTAGTGGTGTCGTCCTGCAGGGCCCACTAGCCCAAGTGCTAGGGTGATGGAGGACCTCAAGCCCAGCCGCTTCACGTGATCACACTCACCCGTTCTATAGCTTCCTTTTCCTGAGGTGTTACTTGAATGTAGTTCATGTGCCCACTTCCAGCTTCGGCTACTCCTCCACCTCCTCCTCCTCCACCACCTCCGCCGCCGCCTCCTCCACCCTGACCACCTGCTTCCTGAACTGGTTCATTGAGCATCTGAATAAAATGTTCCTGGTGTTGGCTAATTTGCTGTAGTGATTTAAAAAAAGAAAGAAAAACCACAGAGATCATAACCCTCTTCATGAAAAAACAATTCTAAATAAAAACAAGGAAAGGCTAAGCAGGCATAGCATTCACACTTTAATTCCAGCACTTGGGAGCTGAGGCAGAAGCATCACTATGAGTTTAAGGCTTGCATGAATCCCTTAACAATTTTGAGTTTTGGGCCAGTCCTATTTTTAAAAGTCAGAAAGAAAAGGGAGATGGGGGAGATGAAAGGAAAGTGATCATTCACATTACTATTAATCAAACACAATTGTTCTGGGACATAAATGGAGAGAATGCAAGTTGCTTTAAAAAATTCTCTACTCCTGGCCTGGGGAGATGGCTCAGAGGTTAAGAGCACTGGCTGCTCTTCCAGAGGCCCTGATTTCAACAATTGCCAGCACCCACATGGTGGCTCACAACCATCTGTAGTGGGATCTCGTGCCCTTTTCTGGCCTGCAGGCATACATGCATTATAAGCACTAAATAAGAAAAAACTCCACTCACAAAAAAAATCTACCACGGGCCTAGAACTGTTTATATATAATTTATTTTCCACACTAGCAGACCATTCTGTGTACAAAACTGAAATACTTCCTGGTCTGAGCATGAGATATGCTCACAGGTCTAAAACGTAGTATCTCACTAGTAGGAAGCTTATGAGAAGTGATTTACCAAGTTAAACACCCTCTTAACTTCTTTAATATGTTAATTTGCCTCAAACTTAATTGGTTGACCAATTAAACTGATTTAATCTATATTCCAACTTGTTTTTCAGTGTTGCTATCTAGAACATGGGCTCTGGGTTTAGCCATAGCACAACAAAACATCCCAACTCCTTTTCCAAGTTGACAAGAATCAATACCTGCAGCAACTGAGGGTTCTCCCGACCTATCTGCTGTAGCAAAGCTGGAAGCAGGGAAGGATTCTGCTGGATAATTTGTCGCATCTGCTGAAACTGGGGCTGATTCCGTAAAAATTCAAGGGGGTGGCCTGAGATATAAACATTTAAAAGCAAAAAACGGTAAATGCATATAACAAAGAGGTAGTGAAACCACAGGTTCAGTCAGAAAACACTTCAAATGAAAGCCTGGAGCTCTCTGGCGCAGTCACAGAACTCTAACGCCCAATGTGCTGCCTTTGCTCAGCAGAAGTTGTATTGCTAGCAAAAGACACAACACTGGGATGCAAACTCAACCACATGCCCTGTGACCCATTACAGAAAACATAAGAAACTGGTATTCTACATCAAAGAAAAGGTTACGTTACTGTAGCTGCTCACAAGAAACATGTATGTATGCCAGTAAGTATTTATTCCTATATTATGTGTAATACTAAAGTCAGACTCGGAGATTAAGTTACCTAGTAGGTGATGTGTCACCTCTTTCCACTATATAAGAGCCCCCAAATGACTACCAAAATTAGCAGTTTACCCAGTAAGATTTTGGTGGCTTTAAAACTGTACTGTCTCTTCCCTTTCCTTTGGAGACGGGGATTCTATATGCACCCTGGTTCTCCGGGAACACTACTGTGTATACAGACTAAGTTCCCTCAAACTCAGAGATCTGCCTGCCTCCCGGTGCTAGGATTAAAGGCTTGCATCACCATACACTGCCTGAAATTATGCATTCTTAGTAAAGTGAGCTGTCCATTCAAAATGAACATGAACTCAAACTATGAATCCTCTTTTCTTAGGCATCAATTGGGGGATGGAATAAACTGACAACACAGTAACACCGATGTGCACTACCATACACTCTACTGTGAGTGAAGACATAAGATTTATCCCAGCGGGATGGTGGTGGCACAACCTTGAATCCCAGCACTCAGGAGGAAGAGGAAGAGGCAGGTGGATCTCTGTGAGTTCAAGGTCAGCCTGGTCCCAGAGCGAATTCCCAAAACTACAGAGACACTGCCTTGAAAAACCAAAAGAAAAAAGCCTTCTCTGGGAATGAACATTGCCATTGAGTACTTCAGATTAAGCGACCTTACACTAAAAATCCAAGCTCTTTCACACCATCAGAAACAGCCACCGTACCTCCAGCACTAGTTGTTGTCGCTGCTGTCGTGGTGGCTGCAGCTGCTGCCACTGCTGGAGACTGAGGAGTTCCTGTACTCACTGCCTGGGGAGGAGCATCAGTCACAGCCTGGCTCTCTCTATCGCCAGGGATTCCCTGCAACACAATTTCCAAGCTTCGAGACAGCTCGCAAACACACAGGCTAAATATTATGCAGTAAAACAGTTGAGGCTTACTGAACACGATTGTCTATGTGTGAAATACATTTCTGCTTATATTAATAACTAGGACATTCACTCAGTGACACAAAGGGCTGTATTTATAACATTAGGAACATTTGGGATAGGAGGGTGTGGGGTTGAGTGAATGAATACCAAGCAACTGCTGGCCAAGTCTCATCTACTGACTCATGTTTCTGAGCAAATATCACCTAGATAGTCCACTGCAGGTCCTGAAAGTGGCTGAAGAGTAGGTGTCCATCAAATTCTCAAACAGTGCTAATGCTGCTTCCTCAGAGGACGAGCAACTAAAATCCACTACAGCTTCAGCCTTCTCCATGACAAGATGCCCTAGGGCTCCAGAGCGTCACTCTTTTGTGTGAGCCCCTACTCAAACAGTCACTTCCTAACTCACCGTCATGGCATTTTCTAATCAAATCATCTCAGGTCACAGTTTATCAACACAGAATGTTAACACTGGGGTGGGGAGAGCTGACTATCTAGCATAGAGTAGTCCCCACCAAACTGAAATGAAAGACAATGGGAGGTAAAACACACTTCTCACCATTAGAAGGTATTCCACGGCTCTGTCGGGGTTGTTGAAACTGGCTCTCAGGGCTGCAATTACTTGCTCTTGTTCATAGCCCATTGACATGATTTCAGTTACCATATTCTCGTAGGACTGACCTGTCACTAAACAAGTGAGTGGGAATAAGGAAAAGGCACATGAACATTCAAGAAACATTCTGTCTACACTTCTTGACTACATGTCTATGCTTCATACACTACTATGCTAAACAAAGGCAACTAACAGTATAAAGTCAACAATTATCCAAGTAAGCAGAATGCCCTCCCAAAAACACTCACATTTTAATCCCAACTAGAACCTGTAAGATATAGATTATGTGACAAAGAGAGTGACAGAAAGGGTTAGAGACAATGAAGACAGAAAGGAGGAGCAGAACTCTGCTGCTGTCTCTCTCTGCAGATTGAGAAAGGTTCTGCAAGCTTCTAGAATCTGGAAGTGATAAGGAACTAGGTTCACCCAATCTCCAAAAACAGCCTTACTGACTCCTTGGTATCAGTCAACAAGAACACTGTAAAAAGTTCTGACCTATAAAAATAGCCGGATAACAAATTGCTTCATATCATTAAGTTTGTGGTAACTTAAAAAGGAACAGAAAATTATGTGGTTTTATATGCACAATAGAAATATCAGGTACAAATACAAATATTCACAGGTCACAGAGGGCAACCTGTTATGAGAGACAGACAAATGGGTTGTTCTTGTAATCCCACCGTTTGGAAAGCGGCTCTGTCTGAGCTTAAGGTCAGCCTTCCTCCTACTGAAGTTCAATGGCAGTATGGGAGAAGTCTGTTTTTGTATGTATTTCAATCAATCAATTCTGGTGTAATGAGACACTTTATATTTTCAAACTGATGAGAAACAAAGGTTAGCAAGATACAATTTCACACCCAAGGATTGAGTTACATGTATTGTGAGTGAGTCACTGGGCACAGGCTATCTCCAACCTTCCCAGATGCCTTGCCTTAAGGAAAGCTACACCCACTCTAAACCCAGAGCTATTAAGACTGTCCTCTTTTTCACCTGTGTTCTGGGTACCGCCACCTTTCTGACCACCCCATCAAGTGGATTTGGTCACTGTCTCCCTTCTCCACCCCAGCTCTGCCCTCTAGTTTAACCAACCAGCAGTCATGTGTCACTGTAAACAGCACTCTGGTGCAAGCCAGTAAGGGAACAAAGGCACTGTGGAGGCTGTACATTTCCTATCTGGAGTTAAACACACCTGCAAGTTAAGTGGGAGATGAGAAGCATAGACATGGTATTTAGGCATTCCCATAGTCTGGATGTTAACTATGGTCTAAAGCAGAACCAAAGAAAACAGTCAGGAACAACAAGATTTTACTAGAGTCTTTGAGAAGAATGGTTCAGATACAGCAAAGGCAGACAGGCATCACAAAAGTCAAATAGGAAGTTAAGAAGCAGGGAGGGACTCTGCTGCAGAGCAGAGCAACAACGATCTAGGAGGCGTAAAGACATAAATGTAAGGGTACTGGCATTTCTGTCTATTGGATTCTTGACCAAGCCATAAATTGTTCTGCTTCCTACAGACTGAAACATGAGCAAAACTGTTTTATGCCTGTCCTTCAAAAATATGTAAGTAAAAATCATCAACACCACCATGAATAACTTAGATGTAGCATCAGCAATTGGCATAATTTACCTGGCTCCTGCTCAACAGCACCAAAGCACTCTATTATGGCAATACTATAACAGTATTAATAACCTTAGAGACCAGTGCCAACTGGCTCTGCTCTGAAGCTACTGAACTGTTTACCATCCTCTGTGTGATCCTCTTCTCCAGTTCTTCCAATACCTTTATAACAATCCTCTACAATTTATGGCTTTCCGTGTATGAGAAGGAGTATGTCTTCTGTCTCATGAATGGATGCATATTGGCAGTATTTGGGGGAGTCTTGTCCTAGGACAGTCAGATTATGAAATTCTGATTTTGGCACACCCAGGAAATCTTGTGTTGACTATTTAAGACAACTACAATTTTCTGTCACTAACTGCAATGAGGATACCAAGGAGTTAAAGGCCAACTAACTCAGGACCAATCTGTAATCCCAAGGAGTCAGTGCTGTCAGAATGCTGCTGCTGGAAAGCCCAGAAGCCAATGGCACAAGTGAGTGCACCTATTCCAGCCCTCTACCCACGACAGGGGCTTAATAGGAAGAAAAAGGGCTGATGGATTAGAAATGAAGGGAAGGTGGAAGACTTATTAACAAACAGGTCAAACAAAGGTGGGGCAAGCAGGCCTTTCTGCTATGTGCCCATATAAGCAACAGGATGCAGCTGGAAATATAGAAAGCCACTTCACTGGATGAAGCTGGAGGTGAACAAACCAATGGGAGGCACAGAAAGAAAAGAGCAAACCTTCCATTCCAAAGGCACCACCGCCATAAGTCTACACTCAGACCACGCCTGTTAGGACCACACATGAAACTCTGGTTGGGAAAAGAATTAGCTTCAAAGGAGGGTGCTCAATTGTAAGAGGAGATTTTAAGGAATTCAGTATCATTTCTAAGTGACCATGAAGCAGATATACAGTGTGATCCAGAAGGTGAAGCCCCAGTCTCAGGACTTATTTGTAAGTCAGACACTCACCAAGGGCACTTGTTGCATCTTCAAAAAGATTTGACCGGGAAGAATCTCCTGGTGTACTGTAAAGGATTTTTAGAAAAATTACAATTCAAAAAGTATGCAAAATTCATTTAAATTCTTATAGTAACTAATTTCTAAAGAATTCTTGTATGTATTGAAGTCTGTGAGTAAGTCAGTCTCTTAGAATACCTGTAGGACTTATCACTTCTAAACAATGTCAAAAAGACACAAAACAAAGCTTAGAGAAAACTTGCTAAGAAGTATGAGAACGACACCGCAGTCAAAATAACCCACACATCAAGTCATAGCAGAAGAAATATCAAATGCAGCACATGATAAAAGTAGCACATGTAGAACCACATGAGGCTGGCAAGTCTGTCCCAGGGAGGTTTTCAGAGTACTTTCAACCGTGGTAGAGAAAGAAGGTACACAACTTAAGAAATATGGCACACACAAAAGAAGGAGACGCAGGCGAGAGCACAGACCTTCTTTTATCCTAAAGGAAACCAATTTTAAAGGCCTGTGGCCTTGGGTAACCCTGGGAAACACCATGTGCAGGCACACGTGCACCCCTATGCTTCTGCTCCTTGGGGAATCAGATTAAGTGGATAAATAATCACGTGTGTATATGCACACCCACATGGTGGCTCACAACTGCCTGTAACTCAAAGTCCAGCTGTGCCTCTTCTGACCTCCAAGGCTCTACACATGTGTGCATGCATACTCACACACACTAAACATTGTAATCGCTGTGTTTCTAAATATCCACAACACACGTGCACACTGAGCATAGTCCCTCCCAGAACTCCACCCTCCCTTTCGTTGTTCCTTCCACTTCTTCCTAAACCAGAGACAATCACTCATCACCGACTGTATTAGACCATCCCATTTTTCCTAGACATAAAGGACATGTCCAGGAAAGGAGACTCCGCAAGCTGTACTGACTTCCACATGCATGACACACAACACAGACACACACAATAAAAACGTAATGACCATTGTAAACGACAGAAAGGTGTGACACTGCTTTGTAGTGCTCAGCTTATGTTTCTGGCTTATTTTGTTCTAGACTTGATGTGACAAAACACTGCTGTAGTCTCAGCACTCAGTAGGCCTGCATGGTAAGACAGATCTGCTGGGAAGACAGATCTGTTGATACAGGCCCTGCGATACGAGCATAAGAACTTGATTTCAGCTCTCCAGAAGCCGTATCAAAGCAGGGTGTAGCGGCACGCCCCTGTAGCTCCAGCACTGGGAGAAAGGTTCACTGGACAGTCTAACTAAACTGGAAAGCTCTGGATTCAGCCAAAGACCCTGTCTCAAATAAATAGTGGAGAGCATTAGAAGATACATCAACCTGTGTCCTCCACACACAAGTGTGTGCATGTACATACAAACATGAAAGACATGATTCACAGTTCACTAAGACATAAAAAAATGAAATAGCTGGATTTTTTAGAATTCCAAAATACGACCACTTTGTGATATAATTTCTTAAAAGGTAGTCCTTCCTTACCTGTCAGCTGGTGCTGGGCTGGTAACCACTGGTGACGGGGCTGGCTTTTCTGCAGGTTTCTCAGGCTGAGCTGCACTGGCAGGTGCAGGTTCAGAAGATGCTGTAGTTGAGGCTGGAGCAGTAGATGTGGGTGTGGACGCAGGAGCCGAAGCAGGGGTGGGGGCTGGAGCCTGAGCCACAGTCGTTGCTGTGGAGGAGCTCACTGCTGTAGTGGCCGGAGTATTCGATGGCTGAGTTGTTGCTGGCGCTGGCGTCGTCACTGCTTTGGGCTGATGTGTTAAAAAGCAGAGCAAATGTAAGA